TTTTTTTTTTTTTTTTTAAGAGAAAGAGTCTCACTCTGTTGCCCAGGCTAGAGTGCAGTGGCACGATCGCAGCTCACTGTAAACCTGAACTCCTGAGCTCAGGCGATCCTCCTGTCTCAGCCTCCCGAGTACCTGGGACTACAGGCACGCACCACCACTCCCGGCTAATTTTTAAATTTTTTGTAGAGACAGGGTCTCGTTATGTTGCTCAGGCTGGTCTTGAACTCATGGCCTCAAGAGACCCTCCCGCCTCAGCCTCCCAAAGTGCTGGGATTACAAGCATGAGGCACTGTGCCCACCCAGTCTTTTTGGCTTTTAACTTGAGAGTTTAGTCTATTTTTAGTAGTGATTTCTGATGCATTTGATTTATTTCTAGCATCTTAATTTTCTTTTTTCATTTTCTACTTTTTCTAGGTATGTATTTTTTCTTTTTCTTCTTGATTTCTTTTGCATCAATTAGGGTTTCTTTTTCTTTTTTATTATACCCTTCCTCCCCACTTCTCTTTTTAGTTTGGAGATTACACCTTCAATTTCTTTTCTTTTAATAGTTGGTTATATTTCTCTCAGCACATTGAAGATATTATTCCCCTGTCTTATGGCTTTCACTTTTGTCGTTGAGAAGTCATCTGTCAGTGTAACTGTTGCTCCTTTGAAGATAATCTGTCTTTTCTCTCTGGCAGCTCTTAAGATTTTTCTCTTTGTTTTGGTGTTCCAAAAGTTTCACTATGATACATCTGAATGTGGATTTTTTTCCCCCCATCTTGCTTTGAAATCTTTGGGCTTTATAGATTTGAAGAGTCATGTCTTTTATCAGTTCTGAAAAATTCTTAGCATTCTTACTGCAAATATTGCCTCTTTTCCCATTCTTTCTCTCTGTTCCTTTTTGACTCCAATTACATATATGTTCTTATTCTGTTCTCCATGTCTCTTAACCTTGTTCATAGTTCCTACCTCTGTTTTGTGTGCCACCCTTTGCCCTAATTCTCTCTATTCAGCTTTGTCCAATCTGCTTATCCATTGTTTCTGATTTCAATGATTATAATGATTATTTTTATTTCTAGAAGTCTCTTTGATTTCTTTACAAATTTTCCTGATCCTTTATTTTAGTCTCGTGTTCCTTAGTCGTACTTTCAATATCCTGTTTGATTTTTCTAAACATGTTCAGCATACTTGTTTTATATTCTCATTTTGAAAGCTCCAATATCTGAAGTCTTTGTGGGCTTGATTCTGCAGGGTGTTTTTCCTGCCGGTTCCTGCTCATGAGACTTGTTTTTTTGTATATTATATTATATGATTTATTTTTACTTTAAGCTCGTGGACCGTGGAACATTTTTAGGGAAGATTCTTTGAAACCCGGGTTTCTAGAGTGTAGGTTTTGTGTGCATGTCACACATGAAGATTAACCCAAGAATTAGACATTACCCGTCTGCACAAAATGCTTGGCCAGTACGTTCAATAATTTCATAAAAATTATTATTTTAAAAACAAATTTAATTTTTAAAAGTTTTGTGGCTGCTGGTTGGTGTGGGGTTGTTGGGATTAGGACTACGGCATAAAACCTATGAGAGGAAATTGGGCAAAGGGGTAAGTAATTAAAATTTTTGAAATAGAATTTTATGTGAGCTATGTATATTCACGCACACACACATCTGTATGCCTCACCATTCGAATTGAATGCTAGACCTGGGTCTGATGACTTCAGTGCCGTGGATCCATCTCCTTAGCCCTTAGTCACAGGCTGCTAATATAGTGGGATTATTTTATGAAGTTGGTTCTTGAGATAGGATAGACCAATATATTAGAGGCAAACAGTTCATAATTTTGTGGTAGGGAGTTACTGTTGTCATTCACGATTTAACATTTCTAAACTATAAAATAAGGAACTATTTTATGTTATTTATTTATTTTAGTGTTTTCAGCTGAACTTTATATAAAGATGGGCATATTTAGATAGAATTGCTAATGCTACACTGCATACAAAGAGGACCAAAGTGAATAAAATCACATATTTTTATTCAGAATTCTTATGTTCTCCTTAATTCTATTTATGTATGTTTCCAATTCAGTTGAATTATTTTCATTTTTTTTTTTATTCCATAAAGTTTGTGTATCCCTGTTAGCTTTCACTTTGGGAATATCCCTGATCTCTGTTTAGGGAGACATAAATTGCATATTGTAACATAAGGAGAACCACTGAGGAACTATTTTGTAATGGGCTTCTCTGTACTTCCTGATAGACATTGCTGCAGACAGCAATGTGAGATTCTCTGATTTAACAACAATCTTACAGGCAATTCTTGATTTTGCAGATTATAGGTAACTTGTGTAGTGATGGGTGGTGGAAGTTTCCGTGTTCTTTCTTTCCCCTCTTGCTATCTACAGTTTTAAGTGTTTCAATGTCCTCTTTTAGAAAGCTGTGAACACGCATGAGTCAGTCATTGCAATGCTGAACTTTCTAGCTGCTTTGAGAAAAAGTTTGATGTGTTTCAGAATTCAGTCTGAGTTACAGTTTTGGCTAAAATAGAATCGGAGGGTTAACTTTGAATTTTAGCAATCTGTACTACCGGGAAAATTTTTCATATTAAATAAAAAGTTACACTGAGGGCGGGGAACAGTGGCTCACGACTGTAATCCTAGCACTTTGGGAGGCCGAGGCAGGAGGATTGCTCAAGGTCAGCAGTTCAAGACCAACCTGAACAAGAGCTAGACCCCATCTTTACCAAAAAATAGAAAAAATTAGTCGGGCATGGTGGCACATGCCTGTAGTCCCAGCTACTCGGGAGGCTGAGGCAGGAGGATTGCTTGAGCTCAAGAGTTTGAGGTTGCAGTGAGCTATGATGACACACACTGGCCTGTTTATGTAAAGCAGTGTGACATGCATTTCTCTCTATTATTACTAAATAGGATAGATCCCTAGACAGTTGTTTTTACGATGTATTTAACTTTATCTAAAAGACATCTGACATACACGTTTTGCAACTTACTTTTTTTTTACTTTAAATCATTTTTGTGAGATGCATCCTCATGGTACTAGCTAGCCCTAACTCATTTACTAGGGCTGCGTAGAGTTCCATTCTGTGTAGGTAACACCATTTGTTTATGCATTTTCCTGTTGACGGACAGCCAGGTTGTTTCTAATTTTTTGCTATTACGAGCGATGCTTATAAATACTTACCAGATATTTCTCCTAACTTCCAAGCTTAAGCTAGAGGTTCACAGATTTATTACGAGATTATGATATAGAAAATATTCCCTTATTTTTGTGAATTAAATGTGGGCAAATGTCTGAGGAAATGCCTTTGCTGAAATACGAATTTTGGTAGAGAGAGGTGGAGAAAAGTGGGCCACTGAAACTGCCATTGTTCACAGTCATTCTAAATGACCATTAAAACCATTGCCCAGGCACCGGCCAAAGACGTCTCTGCTGCCATCTGGCCTTTCCGGTTTGGATATGACAATGAAGGATGGTCCAATCTAGAAAGATCGGCTCTCCTGCTCGAGCAAACAGGTAAGTCTCTTACTGGAATTAGTTCCAGGGTTCGAGAAACTACTGTTGTTACTTTTACTTTCAGCAGGATAGTTAGTGATAGGAAAAGGACCTGCTGGTCATAAACTAATCTCTTAACAAAGGCTTTCCTTTGGCGGGCAGCTGCGGGAGGATGAGCTTCTGTAACCACATCTGTCCGTGTTTGAGAGCGATTAATTCAGCTGATTCCGAACGGCACCTTGAACTGGGTATCTGCAGGGGACTCTGGCCATGCCATTGTTCGTAGGGATGCTCCTTCTGGTAGCTCCTGTCACTTGGGGACCCGCTGTTGGGGACCAGAAAACTGTTGGATTAAGAGGCAGAATAAGTCAGAGTGAGGTTCATTTGTGAACCAAATTGCTTTCAAGAGCTTGAGAACCAATTTTATTTGTTTTCGTGTTCTGGGGTGCTTATCTTTGTGGAAAGCATCCTTTGTTACATGGGGGAGTTTGGTTGGTGCTTAGATCCACTACAGGAGCATGGAGGAAGATTAGTAAAGGGCTGAACCGTTCTGGCTATTCTTAATGAGAAGCCTCCTGAGAAACTTCTGGGGGTCTGTATGAACATAATGCTACCGAGAAATTTCTTTGGCCCTTAGT